CAGAGGAACAGAACTGAGCACATTCTTTCCCCTTTCTCCTGAACCGCATCCCCTCCTGCCTCCCGTTTTATACAATCTTCCCATAGTTTAGAAAGAAGCTTTGATGTTATCAAAAGGGGGGCAAATCACAAAAGGAAAAGAGGAGGCATTTATGTATAAGCAGGAGCCAATATAGAAAGAGATTCACAGAGGCAAGACCTCTGACCTAAAATTAAGCTGGAATTAAAATCTTAGTGGAATGTTTATGAAAAGTCAGTCGCAATGCATATAATGTTCCCATCACTAAATGCAAAGAAACTCTTTCTAGTCGAATTTGTTTTAAATCATGAATTGAAACAAAAATAAATCTACTGGAAAGCTGGAGAACTGAACAAGTCTTGGAGCAAAGGGGCAAAAGATGAAGTTCATTGATGTTCAGATTCAACACATGGCTTGCACATGCTATAAGGAAATACAAGGAGCGTTCATTAAAGATTTCCCCTGACCCACTTCTATTTATCACAGGATACTGAAACTGCACATGTGTAATGATATGTCTCTATAGGTTATGTGCCAATTTACAACTCGGAACTAATAACAATCTTGATTTTATAGGTGCTGAAGTGGTGTGAGGTTTGATAAAGGACCCAGTGGAATACAGAGCAGTCATCAAGTTCCTTTACTTGAAAGGCAGCACATCAAAGAGATAGATTTATGGTGATGATTCCCATCATATGATGTACTCAAGAACTGGCATTGTCAATTCAAATGTGATTGGACTTCAGTGGAAACAGCTCCAATTCCAGGGCAATCCCACTCTGCTATTGATGAAAACACCATCCAGCAAGTGGAGGTCGCCATTTTGGAAAATCTCTGCTTAACCATTCGCCACCTAGCCCAAAATATCAAGATTGGTGTGGGGTCAGTGGAAAAAATCATCCAAGACTATCTTCACATCCATAAGGTATCTGCTCGCTGGGTCCCCCGGCTGCTCACACCTTTCCAGAAGCAGGAATGAGTCGAATGCTCTCAGGCTCTATTGACAATGATGTGCCATGGAAACCAGTAGGACTTTTTCAACAGACTGATCACACAGGATGAAAGCTGGGTACATCACTATGATCCTGAGAGTAAAGTCCAGTCGATGCAATGGAAGCATTATTACTCACCGCCTCCAAAAAAGGTGCATGTCCAGCACTCGGCAGGCAGGATCAAGCTCACAGTATTTTAGGACCAGTACGGAGTAGTATTAATGGATTTTCTAGTAAAGGGTACCATGGTCACTGGGGCATACTATTTATTTCTTTTTATTTATTTTAAATATTTGTATCCCGCTCTTCTCCCCACAAGGGGGACTCAATGCGGCTTCACATGAGCATCAGAAGATGCTGACAGCATAAATACCAATGCTTCACTGCTGCAGAATTGTGGGAGGCCATCAAAAGCAAGAGACAATGTGGCATTCTCATCAAAGGTGTCCGCCTTCTGCAAGAGAATGCACCAGTTCACAACTCACATGTTGCCCAAATGGAAGCATGCTCCTGTAGCTTTGAAATTCTACTGCATCCCCCTTATTCACCCGACCATGCACCATTGGACTGTCAGCTTTCGTATATTATTTCTTTGTTGTTCATTCGTTCAGTCCTTTCATATGAAAGCCGACTGGCACAACCTGGGGATCACAACCAGACACAGTGAAGACATCTGCCCTTGCGCTATGCTACTCTGCTCCTGAGTATGCATGCCCAGTGTGGAACACATCTCACCACACTAAAACAGTGGATGTGGCTCTTAATGAGACATGCCATTATCATGGGGTGTCTGTGCCCTACACCACTGTAGAAATTACACTGTTTAGCTGATATTGCACCACCTGACATCTGCTGGGAAGTAGCAACCAATAGTGAAAGGACCAAGGCAGAGACATCTCCAGTTCATCCCTTGTTTGGGTATCAGCCAGCACGTCAACGACTTAAATCAAGAAATAGTTTTCTAAGATCTACAGAGACACACGCTGGAGCGAGAGTCCAAAAGTGGCAGGCTCAAACCCAGAACCTCAATCAATGGCTGATACCAAATGAGAGACTCCCTCCTGGGCACACAGAAGACTGGGCGACTTGGAAGGCACTGAACAGACTGTACTCTGTCACCACGAAATGCAGAGCCAACCTTGAGAAATGGGGCTACAAAGTGGAATCCTCGACATGCGAGTGTGGAAAGAGCAAACCCAGACCACCTATACAATGCAGCCTGAGCCCCGCCACATGCACAATGGAGGACCTTCTTAAAGCAGGGCAGCTACTGGTCAAAGGACATTTAATAGAATGCCAAGTTTTCAAACTTTGTGGGGGGGGGGGGGGTTTAATGCAATACAACTGTTTGGTTTGCTCCTGACACGGTAAATAAATAAATAACCATTGGACTTCCACCTCTTTCCAACAATGAAGTTATTTTCGAAGGGCAAGCATTTTTCAGATGACAAGACTCTGATTTTCAAAGTCACAACGTGTCTTTTGGAGCAACCTGTCGACTACTACAAACCAGGTGTTTACAGTTGCTTAAATGATGGGAGAAGTCTGTGTCCCTAGGTGGCACCTGTGTAGAGAAGGGCTAATAGTTGTGCCAAGGTACACTGCTCTCAGTCCACAGGAAGTGGGCCAGGGGAAATCTTTAATGAGCGCCCCTCGTAACTGTGACTGGGCTTCTTCCTTTATTCCTTTAGATAGGATCAAATCTAGGAGGGGATCTGTAACTAGATGGCAGATGTTGTGATTCCTAACAGTACTCCACTTTGGAAGATTTGTACAAGTTGCTAGTGTTACTTGTAAGGAAATTTAAATACTGTGTTACATATCCCATGTGGCTCAGATGAAATCAATTTCCACTTGATTAACACTGACAGCTTTTCCAGAAGCAGCCAAGTTACCTTGAGGGCACAGCCGTAAGGAAAGACGTTTCTTCAAGCGCTGGCAAGTGGCTGCGAATACAAGAACCCTGAAGTGAGGAATACTTACCATGAAGACTAATTCTGAACCGCAGAGACAAAAATGAGGCAACAGAGGTGTGTGAGAGAGGGTTTTTAATTGAATAACAGGGATCTTTCATGAATTTTCTCAAAATATAACAAAGAGAAGACACCTTGGCTTTTAAAACAATAGGACTAAATCAAACATAGTCCTAAACAGAACATACACACTAAAACAAGTATTTATTTATTGGGTTGTTGTAGGTTTTTTCGGGCTATATGGCCATGGTCTAGAGGCATTCTCTCCTGACATTTCACCTGCATCTATGGCAAGCTTCCTCAGAGGTAGTGAGGTCATCATCCTCACTACCTCTGAGGATGCTTGCCATAGATGCAGGCGAAACGTCAGGAGAGAATGCCTCTAGACCATGGCCATATAGCCCGAAAAAACCTACAACAACCCAGTGATTCCGGCCATGAAAGCCTTCGACAATATATTTATTTATTTACTATATTTATATACCACCTCTCTCAGCCCGCAGGCAACTCACATAAACTCAATTGGATTTAATGGATCTAATTCAGCTGGAATTGACATTGGATTTCACTCCAAATACAGTTGCCCTGGTAGAACACACAACATTTCCAGATAATGTTTTAACTGTATATAAGAATGGGTTGCTGTGAGTTTTCCGGGCTGTATGGCCATGTTCCAGAGGCATTCTCTCCTGACATTTCACCCACATCTATGGCAGGCATCCTCAGAGGTAGAGGGATCTGTTGGAAAGTATGCAAGTGGGGTTTATATATCTATAGAATGTCCAAGGTGGAAGAAAGAACTCTTGTCTGCTTGAGGCAAGTGTAAATGTTGCAAATGAGATGAGAAAGCGGGCCCTCTCAGTGGTGGCCCCCTGGCTCTGGAACCTTCTCCCCAGGGAGATTAGATTAGTCACCACCTTGTCCACTTTTCAGAAAGACCTGGATGTTCCAATGTGCCTTCGAATAATGGTTCAACCACTGATCAAGTCTGCCTAGCACTCATTTTTGTAGGATCTCCAGTACTTTATTCCCAGCTCCCAACCTTACAGTTTATGTTGCACTAGCCCTGTCCTGCCCTATTAGTCTCAAATCTGCACATGCCCACTTTTCTTGGCCATTGGTTGCTTGTTGTTTGGTTGTGTTTTATGATATCTTAGATTTTATTGCTTTTATGGTCTTAATATAGTTGATTATTATATGTTTCAATGGTGTTCTTTTCCAACTTCGTTTATATTGGGCTTGGTTCCCATGTAAGCTGCCCCAAGTCCCTTCGGGGAGATGGAGGCGGGATATAAGAATAAAATTATTATTATTAATTAGCATGTAATGCCCTTGCAGCTTCAAACGGTTCTGGCCCACGCTACCTATCCGACCGCATCTCGGCCTATGAACCCACCAGGACTTTGAGATCTTCCGGGGAGGCCCTGCTCTCGATCCCGCCTGCTTCTCAAGCACGGCTGGCGGGGACGAGAGACAGGGCCTTCTCGGTGGTGGCTCCCTGGCTGTGGAACGCCCTTCCCATGGACATCAGATTGGCACCATCTCTGATGGTTTTCCACAAAAGAGTAAAGACCTGGTTATTTGCGCAGGCGTTCGAATGATTGGTGCAAAGACTGGTAACGACATAGGAATGGAACAATGGACGACGAACCTGGATCATGTTTTTAGTGATGAGATGCTTGGGAATGGTTACTATAGTAATTATGTATTAATTGTATATTAGATTAGGTTATTAACTGTTTATATTGTTGTTGGAATTCTGCTGTGTTCTGTGTCTTGTGAACCGCTGTGAGTCGCCTTCGGGCTGAGAACAGCGGTATAGAAGCAAAGTAAATAAATAAGCCTGGCTGGTTGCTGCCTGGGGGGAACCCTTTTTGGAATGTGATTGATACTTGTCTGAAATTCCCCTGCTTTTTGTTTCCAACAGACCTCACAACCTCTGAAGATGCCTGCTATAGATTTGGGCAAAACATAAGGAGATAATTCTTCTGGAACATGGCCTTACAGCCCAAAAAACTCAAGCAACTCAGTGATTCGGCCTTCGACAACACATTGTATACACAATGCAAAATTAAACAGTCATTTCAAAGAGTTAGATGTTTTGGAGATAACAAGTTCTTGCAATTAAAGTAACTGCTTTTGTGGAAGAGATGAAAGGCAATGTTAAAAAGTTACTTTCTTTTATAGATACTAGGTTTTAAAAAAGGAAATGTTTTTGTTTAGTTGTGTGTTTACACAAAAGACGCAAGCCACATATTTTTTTGGAAAAAGAACATTGCATCGAGACGCATATTTATATTTCCAAGACGGCCATTTTCTATTTACCCTTTTCTGTTTTCATGTTTCTGTAAACCCAGTTGCCAAGCTGTCATCAACCAGAGGAGAGGGCATTCTCCTCGCAAATTGCTGCGCTTTTACTAGAGGAGTGCAGCCTCGAGTAAAAAGGCTTCAAGTTTTCTTTTTTTAATTATATTAGACTGCCTGCGTGGCAATGTTGTAGTGAAAATACACACATTAAAATATTTTCCCCATAATGAGACTATTAACCGGCTCTCACTTCTCTCGCTTCTGTTGGCTTTTGCGCCGCTAATTCTCCTTTCCTCTTCTCAAAAACCTTCAAGAGATATTCGTCAGGCTTGATTTCTTTTTCCTCTAACTCGGACATGATCTTCTCCAACCTTTCCAGTGTCCTGGCGCTCCGTAGCTTCCGAGTGGCGATATACAAAGTGAACTCTTCCAAGCTCATCAGCTTACAAGTATCAATCTCGCAGAGATCTCGAACATCTTTGCTTTTATTCACCTGTGGGAAGAAAACAAGGCCGGACATTTTCTCCAACTCCTCGATGCTAACTTGGAATTCCAGCAGCTGGTGGTCAAAGCCGATCGGGACGTTGGGCACCACAAAGGCTCCAAGGACCAAAGGATCAGCGGACGTTTCGCTGCGTCTGGCGAGAATCACTTTGTACAGATGCGAAGGAACAGCCACGTCATCTTTTCCAATTACCTATCAGCAGAGCAGAGAGATCGTATCACTCGAAATTCCGCTGGAAACAGACCACAATCCAGCCACATCTACAACTAATATTTTCTATGTAATGTGCAATTGGCAGATAGATGAAAGGCAACACCATATTTGAAGTCTTTGCCTCCCATGACCGATTCCAGCACCGAAAACAGAGTCAAGGTAATAACTAACAATGTTCCCAACACATGAAAGAAAACAAAACAAGGCAAAAGGAATGAGGTTTTGGCTCTTTCTATAGTTTGATGGGGAGATAAGAGCAGATGTTGCAGGAAGGATTGTAAAATAGTAATAAATTTCCTGCGAAGGCTCTTCTACCCAGTAATAATCTTGATGAAGTAGCTCTTCTCTCTTCTCTCTCCCAGGAAATCCTGAGAAATGTAGATCTGTCAGAGGATTGTGTGTGCCTTCAACTCATCTGTCGGCTTATGGTGACCCTATGTATCTCAGAGAATATTCTTAATAATAATAATAATAATAATAATAATAATAATACTTTATTTGTACCCCGCTACCATCTCCCTAAGGGACTCAGTGCGGCTTACATGAGGCCGAGCCCAAACTCAACAATACAAGCAATTAAAAAACATAAATAATAAAATACACAACATTATCAATAAGACAACACACAATTAAAAACAGTGGGAAGGCCAAATGTAGAGTTAAAATTGGAAATAATGCTGGGACATGGACGAAAGGTGATACTGGTGTTTGTGGAAGGGCATACGAGCAGACCTAAAGTGCTTTGGAAGACAAAGTGCTATGGGATCATTATTCCGGGAAGGCACACTGGAACAGCCACGTCTTCAAGCTACTCCTGAAGACTGCCAGAGTTGAAGCCTGTCTGATGTCTTTAGGGAGTGAGTTCCAGAGTCGAGGGGCCACCACCGAAAAGGCCCTCTCTACCGTCCCCACCAATCGCACCCGCGATGCTGGTGCGATCGAGAGCAGGGCCTCTCCGGATGATCGAAGAGATCGTGTGGGTTCATATACAGAGATGCAGTCACGCAGGTAGGCGGGTCCCAAACCTTCAGGGCTTTGTAGGTAAGAACCTGCACCTTGAATTGGGTCCGGTAGATGAATGGCAGCCAGTGGAGCTCCTTGAACAGGAGGGATGACCGCTCCCTGTAAGGAGCCCCAGTTAACAACCTGGCTGCCGCCCGTTGGATCATCTGAAATTTCCGGGCCGTTTTCAAGGGCAGCCCCACGTAGAGTGCATTGCAGTAATCCAGTCTAGAGGTGACTAAGGCCTGGACCACTTTGGCCAGATCCGCCTTCCCGACGTACAGTCGCAGTTGGCGCACAAGTCTTGTGCAAAGGCCCTCCTGGCCACCATCGACGCCTGAGCCTCAAACGTAAGTAAAGAATCCAGGAGGACCCCAAACTGCGGACCTGTGACTTCAGGGGGAGTGCAACCTTAGGCAAGGAATACCCAGATTTGGTTTTCACAGTCCCTCCCTTTGAAATATAACCTACTGAACTTGGTACCTACGTCCAGGGTGGAAGAAAGAACTCTTGTCTGTTTGAGACAAGTGTGAATGTAGCAATTGTCCACCTTGATTAGCATTGAATGGTCTTGCAGCTTCAAAGCCTAGCTGCTTCCTGCCATTCACACTTGCCTCAAATAGACAGGAGTTCTTTCTCCCACCCTGGACATTCCACAGATATAAATATATAAAGATATATAAACCTTGTGGATTTCAATGGCTATGACTGACTTCTCTGGTTGGATTAGTCTGCATTGTCTTTCATGTCCCTTGATTCATGTTTGGGCAATGCTGCGTTAAAGCAGTAAGAAGCCAAACCTTGAAACTGCTGGGTCATTAAATGCTAATCTAGGTGGCCAATTGCAACATTCACACCTACCTCAAACAGACAAAAATCTTTTCTCCCACCCTGGACATTCCACAGATATATAAACCCCACTTGCCAAGTTTCCAACAGACCTCAAAATGCTATTTGATTGTAGGTGAACTATAAATCCCAGCAAGTACAACTCCCAAATTACAAATGAGTGAAGAACATACATTGGGTTGTTAGGTGTATGCTGTCCAAATTTCATGTCAATTCGCCCACTGGTTTTTGAGTTCTGTTAATCCCACAAATGAACATTACATTTTTATTTATATAGATTGTGTCGAATAATTAAGAAAATAATTTCAACAGTAAAAATAAAGAAAAACTGCAAAAATATATTAAATGAGAGCTTAAAGCATTTCAATTTTACTAAACAGCTTGTTAAAAACCTTGCAGGGAAACCCTAATGGGTTGGAGCAATACCGTGAAAATCAGCACGATGCCTGGCTTTTGCCCAAAGATTGTCCCACTGCACTGATTGCAGAAGTTCCTTCTTGCACTCTATACCACTGATTTGCTATTAAACTGCTCGAAATAAAGAGGTTAGATTTACTGTGATTGCAGGAACACACAATATTTACCAAAACCAGATGCATTTTATTTGTGACCCATTGCTGTACCACAAAGTTACGGTAGGCTACTTTCAAAGGACTTTGAAAAATCAGTACATTAGTGGCATACAGATCAGTAGATACATTCAGCTTCATACACATTCAGTCTCGTCTATATCTATATAGGCAGGGACAAACTTTGGTTCTCCAGCTGTTTTGGACTTCAACTCCCACAATTCCTAAAGGCCAGTAGGTTGTTAGGAATTGTGGGAGTTAAAGTCCAAAATACCTGGAGGGCCAAAGTTTGCCCATGCCTGATCTATAGCATCTATATCTGTGTGAGTGGGTCTTTACCTCATTTGAAGCATGTCGGCACACATTTGAAGCTAAGGACGGACTTCTGGCTCTGTTTCCATGTCCTTCGGAAACTGAGTCCCACAGATCCTAAGGACATTTCTGGTGGGAGTCTGTTTCCACAGTGCATGGAAATGGAGCCAGAAGTTTGTCTTCAGAAGTCAAGTTTTACCCAACTCCAAAACTGAGAAAGCGAGCAAAAGATGAGGAAAGAATATGGTATGGATGGCCATCCCCAAAGATGGGGAAAGACAGTAAGAAACTGCTTTCCCTCACCCTTCTGATGTAGTCCTAACCTTTTGTTACATCACTTTAGTTAAAGTTCCATGCAAATATAAAGTATAATGTGTTGTCGAAGGCTTTCATGGCTGGAATCACTGGGTTGCTGTGAGTTTTCCAGGCTGTATGGCCATGTTCCAGAAGCATTCTCTCCTGACGTTTCACCCACATCTATGGCAGGCATCATCAGAGGTTGTGGGGTCTGTTGGAAACTAGGCAAGTGAGGTTTATATATCTGTGGAATGGAYAKATAWAYMAWTYAKKTACWGCTTAAATAAAGAGGAACACTAAAAATAAACAGGGAATTCCTGACATGAAACAATCAGGGCCAACTAACACCTTCCAACAAAGGATTATCCCAGGCAGAAAGCAGGCATTCAATACTAATCAAGGTGGCCAATTGCAACATTCACACTTGCCTCAAGCAGACAAGAGTTCCCACCTGAGACATCCCACAGATATATAAACCTCACTTGCCTAGTTTTCAACAGACCTCACAACCTCTGAGAATGCCACGGATGTGGGCGAAACGTCAGGAGAGAATGCTTCTGGAACATGACCAGGCAGCCCAGAAAACTCACAGCAACTCAATAAAGTATATTTGTGCATACAGTTTAACGCACACATGTACAGGCTATGCTGATGACACGTCGTCTGTGCACATTCAGAGGAAGACCTCCAAGCCACTCTAAACACCTTTGCAGAAGCATACGAGAAGCTTGGCTTGTCATTGAACATTGAGAAAATCAAAGTGCTCTTCCAGCAGTCACCAGCCAATCCCTCTCCAATGTCAGAAATACAGCTAAATGGTGTGACATTAGAAAATCTTGACCATTTCTGCTACCTTGACAGCCACTTCTCCACCAAAGTCAACATTGACACTGAAATACAACACCTCCTGAGCTCTGCGAGTGCAGCAATTTTCCAAATGAAGCAGAGAGTGTTTGAGGACTGGGACATCCGTAGGGATACCAAGGTGTTTGTTTATAAAGCTATTGTCCTCCCAACCCTGCTATACGCATGTGAGACATGGACTATCTACAGATGTCACATGCAACTCCTGGAACGATTCCATCAGCGTTGCCTCTGAAAAATCCTGCTAATCTCTTGGGAAGACAAATGGCCAAATGTCAGTGTGCTGGAAGAAACAAAGACCACCAGCATTGAAGTGATGGTCCTCCGCCATCAACTCCGCTGGACCGGCCACGTTGTCCGGAGGCCCGACCACCATCTCCCGAAGCAGATGCTCTACTCCGAACTCAAGAACGGAAAATGGAATGTTGGTGGACAGGAAAAGAGAGTTAAAGATGGGCTCAAAGGCAACCTTAAAAGCTCTGGCATAGACACTGAGAACTGGGAAGCCCTGGCCCTTGAGTGCTCCAGCTGGAGGTCAGCTGTGACCAGCAGTGCTGTAGAATTTGAAGAGGCACGAATGGAGGGTGAAAGAGAGAAATGTGCCAAGAGGAAGGCACGTCAAACCAACCCCGACCGAGACCGCCTTCCACCTGGAAACCGATGCCCTCACTGTGGGAGAACATGCAGGTGAAGAATAGGGCTCCACAGCCACCTACAGACTGATCCTGGAAGACAATCCTACTTGGCCAACGAGGGATCGCCTAAATAAGTAAGTAGGACCTTGTATCCCCTCATTCCCAGATAGAAAGGAGCAAGGAAATATCAGGTATTTAAACACCCTCTGTTTATTCTGGAATTCTCACACGGATGTTCTTCTCATCCATTTGCCCTCTGAACCCTCTCTCCTTCAGCACATCGTGGAAGTCTGGGACACACACAGGGCTCTGCAGATGCTCTGGATTTCTTGAGCTGTTTGCTGTTACAAAATGTTCCTTCTGCACAGCGTGAAATCCCGAACTTAAAGAGAGAAGTGAGCACTTCTTTGGTCCTCCCACACCTCTGCCAGAATATTTGCTGTGAATGCAG